CAAATTTTTTTATTAATTAGATATATTTAACTATTTTTGAATAACATAAAATTTAAGATTGTTAAATAAATAATATAAAAATATAGTTTTTTTTGGTAAAGTTATATTTATCAAATGAACTTTGATTTAATAGAATATAAATCATACTAAAAAAATCATATGTAACTAATTTAAAAACTTGTATAAATTTATCTCAAAATAACTAGATCTTAATTATTTTTTATATTTATTCTAATCTAAAAAATTATCATTTCTCTATAAAAATTAGTCACAAAAAGAAAAATGATCCGTTTACCTACATCCTTAATAGTTTTTTATATATGAACGGTCTCTATTATTTAAATTAACTTTAAACACAGAATTTTGTGGAAAATAAAAATTGATGTACCATGTTTAACACTTTTCAAAAGCTTAGGATGGAGGGCTGCTCCCCTTGTCCTACACTAGCTCCGTCCCTGGTCTATCCAATTGGAAGGTTCCTAGCTATTGTTCTTAGGGCTGGCTGTTCAAGTCTTTCTGGTTCTTGATCAAACATTAGTACCCATGGGAAAGGGTTCTTGTATCAACAAGAAAACAAGTCATTCTAATTCAAAGTAACAAAAGCATTTGATGAGTTAATGCAATCATTTATGTTGTGTAACACAAATGATTAAACTTTAAGACTTCTTTTATGAGCCTCAATGGCCATTAAAATGATTTACATAATACTGTCAAAAATATAAACAAGAAGAAGAATTCATAGGTCCCTTTCAAAGAAAATGTGACATATTTTCTGAATGGAATATCCTACAATATTGTTTCCACTAGTATGTAAAAAAATGTTGTGAGATACAATTTCCCAAAAGAAAAAGGAACAAGAGATTAGATGAAAAATGAGCACTCACTCACCTCATACAATTAACAAAAACAAAGAAAAGCACATAATTTTTAAGTAATAAGAGGAGTTTTTAACTAATAAGAGATTATAAAAGGCTTCATTACTTGAGCAACATATACGTACGAGTTGTTGGGTTAAAGTGACCCAATCATATTTAGTCAATTTGCAATACTATTTGTTAAAGTCCGCTAAATAACAATAGTGCTACTGAATGTGAATGGTATAAGGAAAACTTTATACTGCCTTAACTAACAAATATTCACATAATTAATGATATAACAATGTAAGAAACGAAAGACTAAGCAATAGAATTCTTTACTAAAAACGAATGCTTGCTCACTAACAATGATACCCTCACCCACATTGTACTAAACTAAAATGATTGTGATATAATCACAAAATCAATCATAGTCATTGAGTATTGACAAACACAAACTATGCAGTTAGATTAGGGAAATGATTTTAGCTTCGCCAGTACACTAAATTTGCCACAACTTGATGTCTTCATCCAATGCAATGCATGCAAAATTTTCCAAGAATAAAATGATTAAAGTAGTAAATGTAGAAAATGTGATAAATCTAAATAAATAAATAAAAACATTTCAAATTTAGATCTTAATTGAATATTTTTAATCTTGAATTTACAAAGGATTCATTGGGCAAGTATAATACAGGAGATGAATTTGTTATGAGACCGAGATTAAATAGAATGGATAGGTTGCATATTCTCATCTTTGATTAAAACTTGCATTTTCGCCAAAACCATAGTCCTCGCAATCAAAAGAGAAATAAAAAGGGTTTCAACTTAAATTAAACAGAGTAGAAATAAAAGTTGGGGCAGAACATTAGACTTTTATTGAGCCTAATGTAAGTGAAAAAATATTAAACAATAATATTAATAAATGGCACTTTTTATATTTTGACTCAAAATATTTATAAGTATAGATAATTAAATAAAAAATTATAACAAAAAGATATAATGATAATTACATATGCAAATAATGATTAAAATAAAATAACATAGATAACTTTTTATATAATGATAGCACACTATTGCAAAGGATTTCGGATTAAATTAAATGGAATACAAATAAGACTAGGAGCAGAACATTAGGTTTTTATTGGGCCGGACATGGGTTATGATTTGAGGCCTACAAGTAATAGGGTCAAGTTTAACAATGTCAATTACCATGTTCCTTTTTTGTGGGCCTAAAGGATATGTCCTCTCTTTGCTAATTTTTTTCTGAGGCCCAGATTAGGGCCTGTGCCCAACCCTGGACCTTCTTTTGTCCGCCTCTCGGAGAGGGTCTCCCATGCAGTCTTTGTTTTATATTGGTCAGCTATTTTATCAATAAAAGTTTAATTGAATTATTTAATTCAATTAAACTTTTATTTAAGATAAAAATTAAAAATTAAAAATTTTATACTGTTCACTAAATATATAAAAGAAAATTAGTGTGCAATTTTTAAATGTCATATACAGCTGTCTCCTTTGGATTGTTCCGTTTATAATATGGCAAATTCTGATGCCTTTTTATCGAACCACCTACTGCATCAATATTTCTACATTGACTCGCCGAGAACGAGGTCTTCCTCACTTTATTAAAAAGAACCAAGATCCATAATTACGACTACTGTTATTTACTGTTGGATGCTTTATTGCTTTATGCATATCAACTTTGGATTCTATTCGACTTACTTTTTTCTTTTTCTTTTTCTTTTTCATTTTTTAATTTGTCCCGCTTTTCCTCGCAACTTCCAACCGGAAAGAAAAAGATGCCCAAAACAAAACCCCTGTGCGTCAACAATTCTCCATTGACTATTTGACTTGCCTGCAGAAAAATATGGGCCTTCCCTTTCCATACTCAATAAGCGTTACACTTCTCAGTTTTTCTTTGCTTGTTCTGTTTGCAGCTTCCTCAGTCTAGCTACAGGCTATAGGTATGTTGTCCATTGATCATGTTTATATTTTCTGCTTGTTGTTGTTAATGAAATGAAATTATAGCTGATCTACCTTTGTTAATTATTTTCTAATCTGTTATGGTTATTGTCATGTGTTTGTTCAGATCTTTGGCCGGCACCATTCTTGTACTTCTTTGCTCCGCCTCCAACTCCACATATTTTCAACATCCTTACCTCATTTCGCCACCTGATCTGTAGGTATATACTACTTTTTATACTATTGTTATATGTTTTTCTCACTTGGACGTATAGAAAGGTTTAGTTTCTAGTTGAATCTCTACTAAACATATGCATACTTGATTTGTCTTTCACCATGACAAAAGTGTTTTTTCGTTACATTATATGACAAATATGTATTAGTTTCGTATGTTAAACAATTCAATTTTAACTAAGCAATTCCCATGGATTCACTTGTGTATGATGGACAATCCTTGACACATGCAGAATCAATGTAATACATACAAAAAGAACGTAAGATAGTCAAATAATTTGGTTTAGATAACCCAATATGAGGCAATGAATCCGCCAAGTCCGTAAATATGTATCGAAAGGAGGACTAAAGATTGTTTACTTATTTAATTTATGTTTTTTGTCTTTATTTGAAACAAACAAAAAACTTAAGTACGTTAACTGGTGTCACATTTCAGGAATCTTCCTCATGGCGGAAATTGCAACACTATTTTTTGAATTCATAAAGTGTGTAGCACCTCCAACACGAAGTTGTGTATATAATCACAGAAAATTCAAAGAAAATGCAGAAGATCTGGGAATGAAATTGAGAATTCTTGAGGCCAGAAAAGAAGATGTAGAAACACGGCTACAAGCCGAGGTTTGCTCAGAAAAACAGGCCAAAAATGAAGTGGTGGTATGGCTTCAAGATGTAGAGAAGATTAATGCTGAAATTCGAGATGTTTTAAAAGAGCTGCCTGGTGTTTCATACTTCTCACGAGCTCGCCTTGGAAAACGTGTTCGTAAAAAAATTGTTGAACTAGATGATATTCTTGGACGAGGGAATTTTTCTGAAGGACTGGTAGTTAATAAGCCTGCAACTGCTTTGCCTTTTCGGGTAGAGAATCTAGAAGGCGAGGTTTCTGTGAAGGAAAAGATACGGGGATACTTGACAGGCAATGAGGTCCAAATGATTGGTGTTTGTGGAATCGGGGGTGTTGGGAAGACCACCATTATGAAGCATATCCATGATCAATTACTATTGGAGTCCAGATTTGATAAAGTGATCTGGGTTACTGTCTCACATCCACTCAATGTGGGTAGATTACAAGATGAAATTGCTAAGAGGATGAATGAAAGGCTCCGAGAGAATGAGGATGAACAAAGGCGACCTTTAGAATTGAAGGAGATGATGGGAAGGGTGAAATATGCATTGATTTTAGATGATGTTTGGCAAGGATTTATGCTTGAAGATGTTGGAATCTTGAGACCAACAGTGGAAAATGGTTGCAAAATAGTTATTACTAGTAGAAAGGTGGATGTATGCAAGTCCATTGGTTGTGAAATAGTTAAAGTGTCTCCTCTTTCAAAGGAAGAGTCTTTGAATTTGTTCTTAGATAAGGTGGGAAGGGACACTCTACAAGTTCCAGAATTGGAAGGATTTTGGAAAGCCATGGTGGAGGAGTGTGCTGGACTACCCTTGGCTATTGTTGTAATAGCTCGGAGCATGAGAGGAGTAACTAATGTCCGTGAGTGGAGGCATGCTTTAAACGAATTACGCAGACGCGTAAGAGCTACAGCCGAAGGTTCAGAAGATGAGATATTTGAGAGATTGAAATTCAGCTATGATCGTTTGCAAGATTCAAATATCCAAAGTTGTTTCTTATCTTGCTCGCTATATGCTGAGGACTATGAAATTGGAAGAGATGTTTTGGTCGAACAATGGATTGACGAGGGACTTATTGAAGAGTCAAGTAAACAAGTAATGCTTGATAATGGACACTTCATATTAAACAAACTTGAGAACAACTGTTTGTTAGAGAACGGTCGTTCCAAGGACACTATTAAAATGCATGATGTTGTGAGAGATATGGCATTGCGCATCGGTCCTCAATTTATGGTGAAAGCTCGTATGGGACTGACAGAGATACCAGATGAGCATGAATGGACTGAAAATCTTGAAAAGGTTTCCTTGATGGAGAATAAAATTTCAGATATTCCTCTAAACATGTGCCCAAATTGTCCCATTCTCACAACCTTGATGTTGCAATGGAATAGCGAATTGAGGCAAATTCCAAATTGCTTTTTTGCAAACATGCAAGGGCTCAAGTGTCTAAATCTTTCTGGAACTAGCATTGAAAGTCTACCTCATTCCATCTGCAATTTGGAGAATCTTACTACATTGCTCTTGCATTATTGTAGGCAATTAAAACATGTGCCTTGCTTAGCAAAGCTTAAGGCATTGAAGAAGTTGGATATGTTTAAAGCAGGAATTGATGTGGTCCCTGAAGGCATTGATATGCTTGTAAATCTCCAATATCTTGATTTACGGTGTCCAAAATTGGTGGAGCTACCGACACAAATACTCGGTAACCTCTCTCACCTCCAGCACTTGACAGTATATTCCAACTTGACCACTTTAAAGATAAAAGGAGAAGAAGTAAGAGGATTGAAGAAGTTGGAGACTTTTCAAGCTCAATTGTATGACTTGCAAGACTTGAACAATTATGTTAAGTCTAATCATTTTAAAAGATTGAGTAATTACTGGCTTGTGGTTGGACAAGTGTACGAGGGCTTTGATCCTTTTGTTAATTTCTCTAAAAGAATAAGTTTAGGAAAATGTGAGATGGGTGGAGAAGATAGTGTGGTGCTTCCAGATGACGTGGAGGAACTATGGATTTATCGGTGTAGAAAATTTAGAAGCTTAAGTGATATTGATTCTCTCCAAAAAACAACTGAGTTGAGAAGATGTATTGTTACTGAGTGTGAAGAGATAGGGTGTGTGGTTGACATGGTTACGTCATCATCATCTTTCATTAATAACCTTGAAAAGCTATGGCTTGATAAGTTGCCCAACTTGAGTGTTGTTGTGAACGTGGAAGGAGTAGAAGCAACTTCGCCTCACATCTTTTCCAATCTTAAAGTCTTTGAGATGGAGGAATGTTCTAGAATGAAAAGGTTGTTTTCACTTGAGCTGCTGCAAGGCCTCCCAAACTTGGAGTATATTAGAGTTCGGAATTGTCAACAAATGGAGGAAATAATAGGGTGGGAAGGAGAAGAGGAAAATCACACAGCTGATGCAACTACTACTACTACATTCACTCTTCCAAAATTAACAGATTTGAGGTTGGAGAATTTACCAGAATTGAAGAGAATCTGCCCCACAAGAGGAGTAATGGTTTGTGATTCTCTCCAACAATTAATAATAAGTGAATGTCCAAAGTTAAGGAGGATTCCCCTTGTAGGGAATGTACGGCCATCTCTTCCTGCTGCTCTAAATAACATCCTTATAAGGCCAAAAGAATTATGGGAATCACTGGAGTGGGACGATCCCAATGCCAAAAATGTCCTTCGTCAACCCTTTGTGTATTGAGGACTGCAAATGGAAAGTTTTACATCAAATCAAATGGCCGAGATCCAATACCACGGGTAAGCCTTCTTTTCTTTTCTTTTTAATGTTCAAACTGCAATATTTCACTCTCGTTTCTTTTTTTCCCCTTTTTTTCAGCAAAATATCCTTTATTTTTTTTATAATCATATATTCATTGTTGAACATTTGAAACCAAATATTTTCGTGGTTCATATATATAGATCGATCTTGTGGCTAATGTTCTTAGCCACCATTCAATTCAATTCTTCCATAATCATTAATGTTTAATTAATTCATCTTTCATCTAGTGGGTAATGCATCAACAACTAATTAATCTTGTGCCAATTGATTTTGATCAAATTGGTTGTTGTTGTCATTTAATTGATCTATTGTTATTTGTGAGAAAGACTGTCAAGTTTATATGATTTTTGAGGGTTGGAGCGCAACAACTCGGGGAAGATTTGAGCTTATTTTTTACTATGCACATCAGGTGTTTGATGAAATGCTTGTGTGGAGATATGGGTTTGTTTTCTGGAATGTGTTTGCTAGGATAGGCTACACTAGGCACAAGGGTTTAGAAAGGTGGTGTAGGGTATTTTAGGGTGATATGCTACATATGTTTTCGAGTTGAGAATCTTTGTAATGTGTGGATTAGATTACTCCCTAATGCTTATACTCCTCTTTTACTGATGATGAATGGCTTTGTGGGATCATGTTGTGCAGGTTGGGTCTGCATCTTTGTTCAGCCTGTCAAAAGGATCTCATCTTGGAATGGGCAGGAAATTAAACCAAAAGAATGGGTCGATTCCGCACATCTGCTTGACTTGAATGTTCTTTCATAATCTTTGAAATCTCTATTTGTTTTTGAATGCTAGTATTATGTAAAACCCCGTTCATTTCTTGCTTCTTATTTTGATTAATTTGTGTGATGTTGTGTAAGTTACGTTATACACTTGTGTGATTGTTTTTTGGATATTAGTGTAAGTTATATTGTATAGTTCTGTGATTATTCTTCCGATATTAGTCTCAAAATCTTAAATTATTGTTGTAATTAACTTGATTATCTCTCTCAGCAAAAATAGAATCATACATTTATTATTAAAAAAATGTTTCTTTACAAAAAAAAGAAAATGAAAAAAAGGAAAAAAAGATAATGAAGTTTAAAAATTCAATTACTAGAATACTTACAATATGACGTTTCTCTCTCCCTCCTTGAGCAAAAAGGAAGAAAATTACATTTGGAGACATCAGTATACAAAATTGAGAACAACAGGGATCCTTGGAGTCATGCATAGACTCAGGAACATTTTTAAGCTGTTCTCTATACTTATATCAGCCATTCATACAAAAATTTTCCTAAAAACAAATGAAATGGTCAAGAAACTATAGTTACAAAATGCATTTGGATTATCAAAACTACTCTTCCACAATTACTGCTTGGTAAAGCAGACAGCTCAGTTAGAATACTTGGGATAACCTGACCAAGGTTCTACCCCATTGGAAGGTTCCTCCCCTTTTGCTGAAGTCGAGGAGCAAACTTGGCGATTGTTCTCAGGGCTGGTTGTTTGAGGCTTTTTGGGTTTTGATTGAATGTTAGTACCCATGGGAAAGGGCTCCTGCATCAAAAAGAAAACTAGTCAGTCTGATTCAAAGTGACAAGGTGCTTAATGAGTTAATGCAATCACTCATGCTGTGTAGCACAAGTTATTAAACCTTAACCCCCTGTTTGGTTTGAGAGAAATGGAAACAGAGTCCATTTCCCTCTCCTCCCCTCCCCTCCCCTCTGTTTCCTTCCATTTCCCCCCTTCCAATTTTTTTGTTATCCAAATAGGGAAATTTTAATCCCTTCCCTCAAACCAAATAAGTGATTAGACTTTATGAGCTACTTCACTAGTTTGACATGATAACCTACCTGATCACCAGCATTCGAACCATCAGTATGAAAAAAAATAGGACGGCATTGTTTATCTTCATTCATCAAGCTTGAGTTCTGGAAATGGGTGATAAGAGCAGCTTTTCCTTGAATCCTAGCATATGCAAGCAACGCCACTTTTTCACTGTTGAACTTTTCCCATTTTTTGCCATTGAATGCCTGCAAATTGGTTTAATAACACATTAACATGAAAAAAAATATTTGTAAATATGAAAAAGCACTACAACATCTAAATCCCATATCAAACCTTATGGAATGGAATAATCTGTTGTGGATCAATCATGTTGATGAATGCATAGCCCACGTTGCATTTATTCTGTTGACAATATGCACAAGTCTCAAGTTAGAAACAGAAATATATGCTCTTTCACAATAAGGTCACTATAATGTTAGAAATGAGGATTTCTTCAACCTCCAATCACGCCAGCCTAAGGCACTTCAAGAGGGAGTCGAGCTCATCAAATAATTAATTTTCTTGCCTTGAAGCCAATTGGCGAATAAATGAAATCATAGGTTCCTTGACAGTGCTCATTTATTGCAGCCGGAAGCATCTTTGAGGTATACCTGCATAGAAAAGGCTATCAGATTGATAATGAAGTAGAGAAGGAAAAATGGGAAACCAGAAGCAAAAGTATCCATAACAGAATGGTTTTTTTTTTTTTTTTTGTGGCCACAAACAACAAGTTTATTATCCCATATGACGGAATTATCAATCATTCACCACCAACACTGGATTTACTTTAACAACATTATAGACTATGGACATTAAAATGACTCACACAATACTGTAAAAAATAAAAACAAAACTAAGGGAATTTCAATTGTGATTTCAAAGTCAATTGCTATTAGTCCTAGTCACAACATCTACAGGTTCTAGATCCTTTAGGGCTTGTTTGGTTGGTGGGACTGGCTATTCCTAGGTGAAACTATGAAAACAAGCTAAAAATTAAGAAATTTCCATAGGAAGTTAGGAATGTATAACTAGACATGACCTTAGTGAAGGAAAAAATGCTCCATCATATGACGGTTTCAACATAAAGAAAAATATTAAAATCAAATGACAAATGTATAACTAGAAAGATGGAAGATGAAGTAAATAAAGAATAAAATAACTAGTGTAACAGGAAAATCATTCACATACTTGTTTGGAATGTTCTTTATCATCAGCGTTGTTGTTCTGCTGTCTTCCCCGTGTATGATGCAGTCAATGTCAAGTTCATATTGTTTCTTATCAGCATTATTAAAATTCAATTCATTTCTATGGTGCGAGAAATTTCTCACACGTTCATTGGGAGACTCAAAAGAACCTGGCATGGATATCACAAGGTTTCTTCCAGGGAAAAGGTGACACATTTGCTGAGGAGAGTATACCACACCATTGTTTCCACCAGCACGTGAGAAAATGTTGTGAGAAGCAATTTCCACAGTGTGTGATGGAGAACTACCAGGAAATCCAACATTCCCTAGAGATCCTAAGTGAAAACTGGAGGTGTCAGGAGATTTCCCAGCATAGGCATGTCACCTGTCCGTAATGGTGAATTAACTGGTGGTGCCGACTCAATGTGGTGGTGTACAGGTGATGCTGCATTCAACATAACAGGAGGTACCCTAGGAAATGCAGGCATATGCTGAACACCATTAACAAAAGAGGGCGAATTGGGCCAAATCCTGCCACTTGAAGGCTGCTGCTGATGTGAGTTGGAGTAGTTCCACGCATAACGATTTCCATGAAGCAAACAGCTTCCATTACCAGATGATCCAAAAACTAGAGCGAATGAATTAGCTAACAAGTCAACTGAACACCTTAAAAGAATACTAGCAGTTGAGTTCTCTTAAAAATTATAGTTGCTTTCTCTATCTCAGTTGTCACAAGTGACGCAATTATGTGAAAATTGTCAATGGTAAAATCTAACCAAGATAACATACCCCCTTCATTAGGTTCTATTGAGTGCCCATTTGTGCTCACTCCATGAATGCTCCTATTATCAAGTTCATCAGTCATTTGGGAAACAAAACTGCTAACCATGTCCGGAATGGTGCTTGAGGAGTTAGATGGAAGGCTTTTGCCTAAATTATCATGATACTCAGGAAAGGATTGGGGATGGAAACTTGTAATGCACTGGTTCTGGAACTTAATCACATCTAGAGTGTGGTTTGGCTCCCGAAGGTTAAATTGGTTGTTAACAGATGCCACTCTTGCAGGAGAGGACAAGTTGATTGGAACACTAGAACTTTGACTAGGTCCAATAAATGTATTCACAGGTGACCGTATAACATTCTGTAATATCGGGCTGGATCCATTATCCATGTAGCCAGATGCACTTACCCCAGCTGTTGCAGTAAATGATAATGAAATAACAGAAAATAAGAACTAAGAAAACAACTTAAAATAAATGACCAATAATTGATGAGAATAAATAAACAATTAATAGGCAAACCATACCCACGTGTCTTGCCATCGAGTCATCCAAAGAACTTTGACAGAGATTACTAGATTCATCTTGCCCTTGGTCCGAAAGTTGCATAAAACTGCAAAAAGGAAATCCTTTTCATATATCTACTACTTCTAGAGGTAAAATCAAAAAGACAAAAGGTAAAAGGAAATAGCTCAATTATACTAATTGCATATTATATGGCACCCAAAAAATTGATTGTGTTATTGATAGTTCAACATTAACAGCAGAATATGACCATGGAAGTAAAATCATCCACCATCATATAAGGGGTAATACAAACCTTTCCACATCCAGGCCCAGAACTAGAAAACAGCGTATAGCTCTCATCTCCCTATTAAAAAGCTAGAATCCACTTCCCTAAAACAGTGAAAAAGAAAGGAAAATAGTGCTGGCAAATGATAACACCATCTTACACCCCCTGGAGGACTTGGTTCAATTTCGATCTGCTTCCCAGCAATGTCACACCTATTCAATGCACAAAGAGCAGCTTCAGCAGCTCTAACATCATAAAACTCAATGAATTTGTGATTTTGCTCAGGTGAAATCTCATTGATCTGCAAAGTAGAGTTAACCACAATACTCATCACTCTATTAAAAGTGAATGTAAACCTAAGGAACCCATTGAACCACATACTTACTTTAATTTCTCCAAAAATACCAAAAATTTGTTGAAGCCAATTGGTTGAAACAGAGGCATCAAGATTGAAAACCACCAGCGTTCCCTAATTGACATCTTTTTCAGATGTATTAACCTGTTGTATTATCAAGCAAAGAAAAAATTCATCAGACAAAGTGTTACACCAAGATGAAAGAACCAAATAAATGAAGCTAGTAACAGCAATGACAACCTTTGGAATAGAATAATGTATATCTAGTTTCCTATGCCTCAATGGCTTATTTTGGAGAGCTCTTGTTGCATTTTGGGCTGCCCTTATATCATAATAAGAAATCGTGGCAAAACCACGATGCTTGCAGGCTGTATAGAGAGCACGGATATCTCCATATTGCTGACAGGAAACAACCATCAATCCAATTTGCTTAAAAATGTTCCCACAGGTCATAAGAGGAGACAAAGATTCCAACAAATATTGTAAAAAATGAAGAAATACAAACCTCAAAAAGTGCCTTGAGTTTAGAATCTTCAACATTACTGTTTATGTTTCTCACAAAAAGTGTTCTAGAAGGGTGTCCACCAACAATTGAACCATTAGATGCTCCTACAATATCTAAGTTTCCTTGACCCACACCTAAACGATCATCACCTTCCGATTCCACGCCCCCACCACTGCTAAATAGGTCAAAATCCTCTAATTCATCATCCCTATTGGCAGGAGTATCAAGTCCCATTACTCCAGAAAAAAGATCATCTTCGTCAGGAAGGAGATTTCCAATGGCCTGCACCTCAATTTCTTCAAGGGATTCTAAAGGTTCTTCCTCATGGTCTGAACCAACCTTAAAGCTAGGTAGAAGAGTTGGAGCATCATTCCTCAATAATTGCACTACATAAGATTAGAAAATTAAAGCACAAATCAGACAAGAAATTAAGCAAATAGAATGATTTTTAAAACTATTTTTGATTTCTTTACACGAAATGCTTGATTTTCTGACATTAATGTTTAAGAGGAAATGCCTGGGACACAGAGAGACAAATAATAACAAATAAGAAAAATAATTTTTGTACTTCTACACTTATGTTTGCCATTAATGTTTGGAATGCTACATTGGCAAATTAAAAGGGTTATCTGTCAAACCATCAAGCATTAAGTCCAATAAAGTATCTTCTTTTAGGAAATCTGAGAGGAACAGAGCAAACACATCAAGAACATACAAGCTCAAAATGCATAAAGAGGATATCTTACGCTTTCTACTAAATATTTCTGACAATGAGCTAGAGAACAGACTGCTTTCATGCTGGATCAAATTGGTGTTGGTCCTGTTTCCATTCATATTATTTGCTACCATTAGCCTATACAAGTCATTAGCATATACAAGTCAGACCAAGATTTTGGATGGTGATCCACTGAATTCCATGAACTCTCAGACAAACTGGAAATTAGTCCTCTAGAAATTCCCCACGTGCCTAGCTTCCCTTCTTGGTCTCTGGCCAGATTTGACAGTGGCTCCAATGGTGATAAGGCAGCTATCTTGTCTGTCAAGAAGACAAATCATTCTTAAATAGGAAATCACATCTGGAATTTCTATTGAAAATATTCAAAATTAGAATACAACAATATATTAATTGTAAAAGGCTCAAATCATGCATAATTAGTCACACCAACTAAAGACTGTTAGTACAGTTAACCAGAAGAAAAAATTAATAAAGCTGTTTTGAACCTATCTCTGGCTTAAAATTTCTCAGCAAGCATAAGACACAACAAGGCAACAGGAAAGAACCAACCAGGTGAAATACAATGAAAGAACGATTAGCAATGGTCAAGGAGGTAGATTTTGCCACAAAAATGCAAAAGAAGTGTTCCATTAAACTTCTTGAGTTAAGGTTATCACACCAGTCTACAATGTCTGACTTGTTAAAATGTATTTGTGTGGAGATGATGCAAACAAAGGTAGTAAGGTACCATTCGAATACACATATATGCTATAATCAAGACACAAAAACTTCAAGAACTTTGGATCAGACAACACAAAACAAAGTGGTTTCAAGTTGCAACCAGCCCATCCAGTTTATTGATCCATTCAATCATTTACTCAGTCATAATGATTTAACATGTCTTGCAAACACCAGACATGCACAGGAACCATCAATAAATTCGCTACACTTTCTTTAGCAGAGATGTCAAGATTAATCCACAAATAACCAGCAAGAGTACTTATACAATAACATCCCCCAGCCAAAATCTCATCCTGAGAGTCAGTGCCTATTAAAAAGCCAGTGACATGGAGAATGAAATTGTTTAAATTTATTAGCAGACAGAACCAAATCAC